AGCCTCCGAGGCTTAGGTCCCCGCCCGCGTCCGGACTCCACTCGCGCGCCCTTGCCTGCCCATGCGTGCATGTCCTCTCGACTCGAGGCTTAAGGCCTCGCGCAATGCGTACGCCATTCCTATTCCTTGAAGGATAATGGTCGTGCTGTCGTAGGCATCCAAATTAACCTTGCTTAAAAATATGTAGTAGTGTGAGCAAGGATCGTATCCACGGGGAATAATTTAATTAAATGACTGTAACTATGTGATAAAAATGGGGGAGAATCGATTTATAAACCTAATTATCTAATTAACAAGAAAATGAAGAAGGTATAAAGATTATTAAATAAATGACTCAAAAGTAACAACAAGATGAAGATGAATATATAGGTAAAGTGCTCCAGTTGAATTGATTTCCACCCGGAATTATTCTACTGATCCTTGACGCAAATATTATCAATTCATAAATACGTAGATGCCGTTGAATGATGAATTCTGACTCCTAAATTGGCCATGCAAAATAAATCCTCCTACACAACCCTTATTACTAGGCAATTCCCAACATCGTGCAAAATTATCCTAGCAATAGCATTAAGAAGTAGAGCCCGACAACACAAGCAACAAATAACTAATCCGTTAAATGCTAACTAGTATAATTATTTTGCCTAAGAATGATAACGCCTAAATCCGGTCAATTACCACACTCAGTTGCTTCTTACGATAGATAAATCATCTAATCCGACTCAATATCTACCAAGCAATAGATTAAGCGAATAAGACAATAGTTGATCAGGCTACAATCTTAACACAAAATCATAAACATAAACACACAAAACAATCAATACGAAATATGAATTAATGGATAAAACTAATTAGATCTCACAGTATTATGTTCGGGGTTTCAATTGTATTCAACCGAAGCAAAAGAGAATTAGCCGCGCAGGGCTTCCATAAAGTCTAGCAAATATGTAGAAGAAAAATAGAGAAAAGGGAAGAAAGAATTTTAAGGTTGATGATCGCGTGATCCCTTCTTTCTGCTCCTTGTGGCTGCTGTACGTGTTTTGTAGGTCTCCAAAAACTGATATGTTCCTCTTTAATTATCGTTGGTGTTTAATGTTCCTATTGGGCTTAGTGTTACCAGGCCCATGTTAAGAACTGATGAGCTGCTTATGCTGACATGGCCATGTTCTACAAAACTCAGCGCTGCCATGTTGGTTATATATGCACCATGCGATCTAACTGCACAAAAATATCAACAAATGTAGTTTCTACTCGAAGACACATTATAAAGTCTAAAACACGTCACTTAAGCACAAATATCCAAGACAAAGTCAGATATAGAAACACATATTTTCGACTTATCAAATACCCCTACGCTTAAAATGATGCTTGTCCTCAAGCATAAAGTCAAATCAATTATCTCAACTTACATTCATCTTCTATCATCCAATGCCAACTCAAAACATATTGTATCCATCAACACACAAGTTAAACTAGCGTCCCTATCAACCAACCAATAAGAAATATACCCAACAATCACGTAACTTAAACACATGGAAATCAACACTTCTCACGAGATTCACTCTTTCACTCAAAGTGTTTAGACTAAATGTGAAGTGTACGCTCTAGTCAAGACTTAGAAGACTTTTACCATAAGCTTGCAAAGATATCACGTCCAATCACCCAAAATGAATAAGAATAAACACAAAATCAAAGGGTTAAAATTGAGTTGTAATGAGGCTTAGGGTAAGGTGGGATAAGAAAGGGAAGGGCTAACAGAATCGAACCAACCACACAAACTCATATAAACCAAGTTCAATACAAGATGATCAAGCTATCTCAATAAACATCCGACATAAATAAAAATAAAAATAAAAAACTGTACACAATGCCTGCTTTTTTTTTTATTTTTTTCTGATTTTTTTTTCAGTTTTTTTTTCTTTTGTTTTCAGCTTCTAGTTCAGCCGCTCTCTCAGTTTTTTTTTATTTTTTTTATTTTTTATTTATTTTTTTATTTTTTTTTTACGAAATATGAAATAGAAGATAAACCTACGTCGGATAGCGGGACTACGTACAAGACACGATCACATCAAAGTGCATAATACCATGAGCTCTTCTTCAACAAAAAGGAATTCATATAATTGATTCGATCCAAGGTTCAAAAGATGGCATCAAGAAAAGGATATTATAGCTTGGAGCGTGGTTATAAATCAAAGAAAAGGCTAAGGCTCGAAGGGGTTTACTAGTGATTCATGAAAAAGGGTAGGCTTCAAAAGAGAGGATATAAAGAGAAAAGGCTAGTCCTATGTACCCTTATTAAGATTTTATGCATTCAATTTCATCAAAGGTGTACACATAGACATGCATAGCAAAGAAAGTTCTAGAAAAACCAACTAGTCGAGACATCACACATTCAAGAAAATGGAGCATGATATTCAATATATGCTCATAGTCTCAAATCTCACCAATAAGAGGGTCATAACCAAGTGTTAATTCCATGCGTCTCCATCACATAATCATCAAGTAATATTCATCATCATGTAGCACCAAGGGCTCAAACATAACAAGTGTACGGACACAAGAAGAAGGATTGTTCTACTGAATTGGCATAGATGAATTAAAAATGACCACAAGAGAAATAACAATCAAGACTCAACACCAGTAAACAAACCTAAAAACTCAAAACTGTGACAAATACTCTTGACCACATTTCAAATATTATGAGGGAAGATAGGCATAGAGACTCACAAAATTTTATCCAGGTGGCATGCATGAACAACCTTTAATTTCCTCAAAGATCTGTCAGAACTCCCATTAAAGTTGTCACGATTCCTTATTCTATAGTGAGGTCCATGTTGCTGTGAAGAAATTCCAAGTCTCTATTGACATGGTCATGTCGTTTTAAGCCCAACACCATCAGTCCCAGTGTTCCAACAAAAATCCTGCCATAGAGAACAGAAAAAGTATCAGCAACAGAAACAAATTATTTTAAGGCGTGGGCACGGCTTAAAACTATCATTTAACGTGTACGTGGTTCGCTCATGCCTTCAAAAAATCGTGTCTACCTTAAAATCACTCCAAGTCCTAAACAAAACTAGAGAAATAACAAAACAAAGACTAACAAGATAATAAAAAATAAATAAAAATCTAAAATAAAGAAATAAAAATAAAAAATAAATTGGGTTGCCTCCCAAAAAGCGCCTTTTTTTATCGTCGTTGGCTCGACACGAAGCTCTCGATTTATTCAGAATAAACGGGGTCCTGGGGACCCATTCTTTCTTCATGCTCAAGCTGAAAATTCTCGTGATATGGCTTAAGTCGATGTTCATTGACTACAGAAGCCTTCGAGCTTGACGGACTTCGAATCTGAATTGACCCATGCGTACAGAACTTGGTGACTTCAAAATGTCCTTCCCCTCTCGTTCGTAGCTTCCTTGGGAACAACCAAAGACGGGAATGGTACATGAGAACTTTTTGCCCAACTATGAACTGCTTTCTCGAAATCATCTTATCATGAAAAGCCTTCGTCTTCTCCTTGTAGATCTGAGCGCTCTCATCGGCCTCGTTTCTCATCTCTTCCAGTTCTTGAGTTCGTAGTTTCTTATGCTCGCCGCTTGCACTCATCTCCATAAGCTTCAAGACCTTAGCTTTCACGACATCCAACACCACCGGGTTCAAGCGATGTTGGGGTTGACGAAGAGGTTCAGCTTCTATTTCCCATAAAATGCAATGCGTGCAAATTGAGGGGCTTATTCTCTTTATGTCTGAGATAATCCACCCCAACGCTTGCTTGTGTGACTGGAGAACTTTCACGAGCTCGTCTTCTTGAGTTTTGGTAAGCTTACTCAAAATAATCACTGGAGGTGTGTTTTCCTTTCCCAGGAATACATACTTGACATGGTCGGCCAACGGCTTCAGTTCCTTGACGGGTGTTTGGAAAATGGAGGGTGGGGATTTTTCATTAGTATCGAAAGAACTAATACCACTAGACTCACCTTTACCATTGGTCTCTAAGCCATCATCCATGATCATGTGATTCTCCAATTCATTAGCTTGACCTGGGGCAATGCTAAGTAGTGAGTTGTCTGCTAAAGTCCTGATGGTGTCGCCCACGGTATTATCCTCTGAAAGTGACAAAATTTCCTGAGCCAAATTATTAACAAGTCAACAGATAGTACAAATTCATCATCACCAGGATACTTCATAGAATTATATATATTAAATTTAATTAATTGATCATCAGATTCCATGCTAAGAATTCCATTATGCACATCAATCATGGTCTTAGACGTTTTTAGAAAAGGTCTTCCAAGTAAAATAGGAGCAGTAGCATTGTTATTCTCCATATCAAGAACATAAAAATCTGCTGGAAAAACCAAGTCTTTAACTTGAACAAGCACGTCCTCAACCAAACCCTTCGGAAACGCATTGGACCTATCCGTCAATTGAATGATAACTCCTGTGGGACTTAATGGTCCGAGCTTCAAAGAACTATAAATTGCATATGGCATTACATTAATAGAAGCTCCCAAGTCCAACATAGCTCTTTCAAAATGAGTTCCACCAATGACACAAGGATTTGAGAAAAACCTGGATCCTTGCATTTCGTGGGGAGTTTCTATTGTAAAACAGCGAAGACATTCTCACTTACCTTAACTTTCTCATGGCGTATGAGTTGTTGTTTGCGCTTAACTGTACACAACTCCTTCAAAAATTTTGCATAACGGGGTACTTGCCTAATGGCATCTAGCAACGGGATGTTCACCTCGCATCTTCGAAACGTCTCATAAATATCTCGGATAGGCCCGTCTTTCTCATGTCGAACCCATGCCTGTGGAAACGGTGGTTCAGGCTTATACTCGAAATAGGTTGGCTTCTTATTAGCCTTCTTGCTCCTCTCTTCAGCTCCCAGGTCAATTTCTTTCTCCTGTACAGTTTTACTATGAACATGGTCAGCGACATGGCCATGTTGGTTATCCGAACCTGCTGCTTCAAACTGCTGTGCGTGTGAATTTTTCTGTATCTGCTCCAACTCTTTGCCACTTATTA